AGGGCTGAAATTTTGGAACAGCCTTCCAAGGGAAACAGTGGGGGCGAAAGACCTCTCTGGCTTTAAGATTAAGCTTGATAAGTTTATGGAGGGGATGGTTTGATGGGATAAAGTGATTTTAGTCAATAGGTCAATAATGTGCCATCGCTGGTAATTAGTAACAATGGTCAATGATTGGATATTAAAAGTTACTACAGAGAACTTTTTCCAGAGGATCTGGCTAGAGAATCTTGCCCGCATGCTCGGGTTCAGCTGATCGCCATATTTGGGGTCGGGAAGGAATTTTCCTCCAGGGTAGATTGGCAGAGGCCCTGGAGGTTTTTCGCCTTCCTCCGCAGCATGGGGCAGGGGTCGCTTGCTGGAGGATTCTCAGCGATTTGAAGTCTTTAAATCATGATTTGGGGACTTCAACAGCTGAGTCAAGGGAGAGAATTATTCCTGGAGTAGGTAGGTCAGCTTTTGTGGCCCGCATCATGCGGGAGGTCAGACTAGATGATCATAATGGTCCCTTCTGACCTTAGAGTCTATGAGTCTGAGTCTATATTTGTCTGTCTTGGTCAAAAAACTTGTTTCAAGGTTTTCAGAGAGGAACTGAGTTCATGTGGTCAAACTATTGCGATTAGAGCTGAGAGGCTGTTTGTAAATAGCTACATTTAGAAGAAAAAGAAAGGAAAACATTTGCTGATGCATTTGCTTGAAACCACAATTTACTGTAATCAGATAGCTCCCAGGAGATGTGAGAACTCTGCAATAATTAGTCCATTTCTCTTTTGTGTTCTAGGCTTTCCCTTCATAAATCAAGTTCTGAAGAAAGCTCTGTAGGTCAGTATGTTTCATTTCATGTTTCCCTCTGTTTAATTCTTACATCTCTTTAAGTTTTGTGTATGTTGGGTGAGATTATCAGAAGAGCTGAATACCGACAATCCTAACTGAAGTTTGTGGAAGTTGTGTGTGGGGGGGAGGAGGAGGCGCGGAGGGTACACCTTTGAAAATGAGGTGCAGCATCTACAAGTGGCAGACAGATCTAGTCCAGCTAATATTGTCATTTTGTAAATATGCAACTCATGAGTTGCAAATTCTAGAATGTTAGATCATTGTTGGTTTGTCTATTTGCCTTGTTCAAGCCACCTCCCACACTAACTTTCAAATCATTAGGCATAATTTGCCAGCCTCTCTCCCTTAATTTTTGAGATACTTTGTGTTGTTTTTAAATGGTGTATTTGTATTTCAAAGTTTATTTTTCAGACTGCCCTCTCGTACTTAGCTCCTGGAACTAGCTCTGGTACTCATTAGCTAGAGTTATAAAATCCTGAGGTTTTTGCTGAGGGTATTTGGTTTTTATTCCTTCTAAGGCTACCTGCATCTGATTTAAACTGAGAAAACTAGAACACAAATAAATGGCAGGAGTCACAGATGTAGTTAATGGTCTCATAGCATTTCTCATGCAGATCAGCAAAGGGAATATATAATAAAATAACATTCCTTATCTGAGTTGGGGTTTAGTCTAAAATAATTGTGCCTTAACTAAAGAGAATAAGAAACAAAATGCTGCAAAAATACAGCAAGGCTTAACATGAACAGTTAAAATGTCAACAAGAACACAAAAGGGTCTGTGTTTTATAATTCAAAAAATGCCTCTTGGTAACTTATCTCAATCCTCCACAACCATCCTTGATGCCAAAGAACGTACATTTGTTTTAGATAGCTAGATTAGCACAATTCTTGTACAGATCAAATTCAGAAAATGAGAAAAATTGGGGAATTTTTCTTTCTTGGTAAAGTTACATGCTGAAGTTTTCAAAGAGGAAAATCTAATTTTCGTATTAACGTTCCTGTCCTGTACATTTTTCTTAAGGGAAAGCGGACTGGAAAAAGAAGAATAAGTATTTTTGGCAGAATTTCCGAAAGAATCAGAAAGGAATAATGAGACAGACTTCGAAAGGTAAAACCTTTACAGATACAGTGACGCACTGCACTAAAAATGAGTCTCTGTAGCTCTTTAAAGTCTAAGAAACAAGAATCACAAAACAGAAACTAAAACATTATACTAACTTGGCAAATAGGGATCTATGTAGGTCTAATATGCTAGATAAATATGATCAGATTTGGTCCATTGTGACTTTAGCTCAGGGGTGGGCAAACTTTTTGGCTTGAGGGCCACATCTGGATATGGAAATTGTATGGTGGGCCATGAATGCTCACAAAATTGGAGGTTGGGCTGCGGGAGGGGGTAAGGGCTCTGGTTGGGGGTGGAAGCTCCGGGATGGGGCCAGAAATGAGGAGTGCAGGCTCTGGCTGGGGGTGCGGTCTCTGGGGTGGGGCTGGGGAATGAGAGGTTTGGGGTGCAGGAGGGTGCTGTAGTCTGGGATTGAGGGGTTCGGAGGGCGGGAGAGGGATCAGAGCTGGGACAGGGGGTTGGGGCATGGGGAGAGGCTTAGGCTCCAAGTGGCACTTACTCAAGCGGCTCCCGGAAACAGCAGCATGTCCCCCCCGTCCGGCTCCTATACAGAGGTGCGGCCAGGTGGCTCTGCACCCTGCCCCGTCCACAGGCCCCACCCCTGCAGCTCCCCTTGGAACACCAGAAGTGGCCATTGGAGTGCATAGGAGCTGGAGCGGGGCCATGCCGCAGCTTCTGGGAGCCGCATAGTGCAGCCCCCGACCCTGCGCCCCAGCTGGAGCAGTGCAAGCCCCAGACCCCGCTCGTGGGCTGGCTTAAAATGGCTCATGGGCCGTAGTTTGCCCACCCCTGCTTTAGCTGCACTCAAAGGATGAGTTATCCGCTGTATTCTGTTAGGCCTCAATCCTGCAAGGTTCTGGGTGGCCTGTTAAAGTCAATGGGAGATAAGAGTGCTCTGTTAGTGGAAGATGTATGTCTAGATGCCCTAGAATAATATGAAAATATCAGTGTGAAATCCTGGGGAATGGGAAAGGCATGTCTTCAAATATAACATCTGATCCCCTTTTTTTGCCAAAAGGCTGTGCTTTGATGCTTCTTGATCTCTTATTTGCTCACTTTGGCTTAACCCAGCTGATTTGAGGGAGGTTGTGGCAAGTCACAATTTGGAGGCTCAGAATGTTCCTACCATTGCAAATAGAGAGAGAGATTTTCAATTGAAGCTGGGTTGAAAAAAGCTGTACGTTTAAGCTAGGTTGCATCTGGCACGTAACTAGGAGGGCTAAAGATACTTTGTATTTATTGGCTACACTTGCTATGATTTATTCTTATGGCGGACATGTTTGTTTAAGGAATAGTTAGCAAGAGACTCCACCCTGCTTTGGCTCTGCAGTATCTTCTCCAATTTGCTTTAAGGCTGAGCTCAGCATGGGTCTGCATAGTGCCCGTTTGCAAGCAGAAAAAGGGATGAAAGTATTTGCCTGCAAATGAAAACACATAAGATGAATCCACCAGTTAGGTTATCGGGGTTCCTTCCCCAGTTCTGCTCCAAGTGGACACTGAGTGTAGCTCTGTACTGTCGTAGAGTCACACAGGTGCAGTGATGCTGTAGCGCAAACGTGGAGAGCGGGAAGGTGCTTGCAAACGCACTCTCTCCTGGTTGGATCACTCTGTTGCAGGCAGATGCCTCCCCAAACTGCTGAACAGGCACAGTGAACGCGGTGAAAGTTTGTTAAAGATGACAGGACTCTGATTAGGATGTAAAAAAATATCTTTAGAAGTGACTTATCAAGGCAGGTTGCTCGCTTTACTGCTCTGGCCACTTTCAAATGTGATCCCAATCAGTGGTATGTATACACCTATACACATTGTGATTTTGGCTGCATCTGCTTTCTTCTTACCAAACTCTGCTGATTTCAGCACACACAGTAGGACGTTTATTGTAGGCGAGGGGCACCGATCTCCATCACTGTGGAGGAATAAGGCTGCCCTCTTTCCTGTATTTTCCAGTGGAACAAAACTGGCAACCTGCAGGTACATCGCTGTGTTGTTATGCTGCGTCCCTCTGCCTGATGTAGTATCAGTCACGAAGTTGTGACAACCGCAGTTTTCCCCTACACAGATCAAATTGTGGCATATGGGGAGGGTTCATCCAGCCTAGCCTGACCCAATTGGGAACTGGGTTCTGGAACTGAAGCAGTATCACCAATGCTTGTTTCCAAACACTTGCCTTTCAGTGCTGAGTCGTTTTATATGTGCGTTGCATCTCTTCCTTTCTTCTTCAGGAGAGGATGTTGGTTATGTGGCAAGTGAGATCACAATGAGCGATGAGGAACGGATCCAGCTGATGATGATGGTGAAAGAGAAGATGATCACCATTGAGGAAGCACTTGCTAGGGTATGAGATGCATATAGTTACCCATGATTTGTTCTATCCCAGTTTCCTCTGGGGAGGATGCCCTGTATCCTGTCATCTGTTGGCCCTAGCAGGGTGTTTTTCTGAATAGTGGAGTGTTGTGCAAAGTGGTGGTCCATAGTATCTCTGCGGAGTCTGATAGTGCTGGCACTTTATCATAAGGTCACGAGGCTGACTCCACAGTAAAGGCTGAGGTTGCACTTTCAAACTAAACGCTTATTTTCAAACACTTCTAACTTTGTTCAAGAAACAAGTATCCTTTTTGATACAAAATTTCTTATGCTTTCAAGCCCAACATATATGTAGTTCTGAATGAGGACCAGTGCCTTAGTCATGTTTGGAAAAGAATTAGGCAGAGATATCAGTTACAATACTAAATGCCAAGCATGCATAGCACAGTCAATTTCACTAACTTCAGAAAAATACCCCAGGCTGTAAAATGCACCAGTCTGAGACATTCAAAGGTTTGGGTTTATGACTGTGCCCATTAAGAGAAGGAAAATATGATGAATAGTTTGGACTCTGAAGTCTTACTGAACATCATAAAACAATTCTGTGTAACCCCTAAAGAGGGTAGACCCTTGATGCATGTGGTGAAAGCTAATCACATGACTGCAAGTAATTGAGTCATCATTGTTTTCCTTATCCTAACTTCCATCACAGCCACATCATTCACTATCCTTTCTCATTGTGTAGTGTCAAATTCAGGTCTGACCTACACCTAAAACTTCCATAGACCTAGCTACTGCCTGTTGAGGGGGTGGATTTACTACGGTGAAAGAAAAAACATCTTCCATCACTGACAAGTGTCTACACTACAGTGGCATAGGTGCAGCTGTGCCACTGTAGCACTTGTAGTGTAGATACACCAGCAAATTGTGATTCCCTTGTGCCAGGGATATCTTGAATTTTATTTGCCTGTGAGGGACGCTGTGCATTCATAGCAATGTATAAATAATAATATAGACTCTGCAGTGTTTTATAAAATAATAAAACAAATAGTTTTATCATATGCTAAATGGAGACAGAGTAGATGTATCAGTGCATCTTTAAATAAATATATTCCAAGTATCACTCACATGAAGTCAGAATATTTCAAAAGCATTCAGGCTGTCTGAGCTAAGGGAGCTTGTTCCCTATGTCAGAGGACAGCCTGCACCTGTTCTGCGCACATTTCTGCAAGCCCTTTTCCTGTTGAAGTTCCCCCATCTGCGTACTGACCAAGCCCAGTGTTGGTTAGTTTTTAATACCACATTCAGGCTAGCACTGTAAATAGCCATCTTACATCTTGCTTCAATTGATTCCTCACAAATAAGCATAAGATTTCATCTGATGTTCCCTCACCACCGTACCTTTCTGTATTGCACATTGTCCATGTCAGGCTTTGCAGTTTTTATCTGTTCTTGCTAGAATGTGCTTATTCATTAGCTGTTATCATGCTGCTCAGGGCTATGCATACACTTTGATCTGGGAGTGTAATTCCCAGCTCAAGAAGACATACCTGCACTAGCTCTGATCCAGATAGCCCATAAAAATAGAGTATAGCCAGGGCAGCATGACAGCGAGAGGGGCTAGCCACTGGGCTCTGCTCTATTTTTAGTGTGCCAGCTCAATCAGAGCTAGCATGGGTATGTCTCCTAGAGCAGGAATTTTCCATTTTTGTTCTTAGACAAAAGATGATTTGTTTTGTTCAAGTTTCATGAAAATCTGTTCAGCCATTTTGGGGGACTTGCCGTTAAAATTAAGACAGATGCTTTTTTTCACAAAATGCACTGGCTCACACGAACTTTCCTTTGCGATTTATTTTTTTAAGATGTAAAATCCCAAGAAATATAATATATATGTTAATGTAGTATTAAGGTTGACATTTGCATAAGAGCCAAGAAATTCAGTGTTCAGATTGCCACAGCAATAACATTGTCCCTTTGTGCAAATACGTGATCACACAACATACATGCTGTAACACCAAGTATTATGTATGTGCAGCTTAGGTTATGGAAAAAGGAGTTTAAGCATAAAATGGTGCTCATTTACATTCTGTTTATTTACACACACTTCCTTGAGTTAGAGTGGCAAAAAAGATGAAGATCCTTTATTTTATATTGTATGTATGCAGTGTGTTGTAGCCATGTTAATCCCAGGACATTAGAGACACAAGGTAGGTGAGGTAATATCTGTTATTGGATCAACTTCTGTTAGTGAGAGAGACACAAGGTTTTGAGCTTACATAGAGCTCTTCTTCAGGTCTGGGAATGGTACCCAGAGTGTCACAGATAAATACAAGGGTGCACTGGACCCTGCCATAACCACTGATGCAAAAGCTACAGACATCTCTCCACTGCTATGATGATCAATATCCCCCGCAACACAATGGGTCTTACACATGCCTATCACAGCATGTGATGTACCTCATCCAGTGCACTGAATGCTCCCATCAGGCATTGCAAAAACTTCCCAAAAGGCTGGATGGTGGTGAGTTGCACAGTGGGATACCTACCCATGGTGCACTGCACTCTGCATCAATACAAGCACTCCTGGTGAGTACACGCACCACCAACACAATGAGCCAAGTATTCACACCCACCGGTGATATACTAACGGCAGCAGCTGTATGTTGACGTAACATAGGTCGACATAACTTTGTAGAGTAGACATAGCCTCGACACTCTGGTTACCTTCCCCAGACCTTAAAAAGAGCTCTGTGAAGCTCCAAAGCTTGTCACTTTCACCAGCAGAAGTTGGTCCAGTAAAAGATATTACCTCCGCTACCTTCTCTTTTATATTGTATGTTGTTTGGTGAATAGTATGCCCCATTCGCTAACATGTATGAAATCATATAATAAAAAACATTAAGATTCCTAGTGTAACCTTAACACTAAGAAATTTCTCATTTTCTCTGCAATTAATTCTTTACCTTTGCATTGTTTTTTGTGTGTAATAATAAAGTATAATATGCATTATGCTTGTAGTTGCACTTCTTCCCTCTAATGGCCTGAATTACTATCAATAAAATGTACATCAGTGATTTTATCTTGTTTCCCTTAACAAATTTAGGTCTTGATCCAAAACCCCTTCAAGTCAATGACAGTCTTTCCACTGATGTCAATGGGCTTTAATCAGAAATGTAAACCAGGAACTGAGAATGTTTGGGACCTAATTTTCAAACCTGAATTTTGATGGCTACATGCTTATATACATCCATTGTGTCTGCAAATGCCACACTTGTGCACACAAATAGTTACTGAAATATGCAACTTCCAAATTTGCTAGGGGACCATTCTCATGTTGCAAGCACAACAGATGCAAGCAAAATGCTTGTGTCCAACTTCAGTGTCCTCCTTGACAATTTGACCCATTAGGAGTTGGTTCTTTTCTGTGTATTATACTTTTTATTATAAAACCATAAAGATAATCATTAGTTTTAAATTTAAAAGAGCTGAATCTCAAACTTCCATCCCTAGATCTTTCTTTGTAAGGGAGGTACAAAGACTACCTTGAGTTAACCTATGCAGTGCAAAGTGTTTCTTTAACAAGGAATGTGTAATTTGCATCTTGGGAGCCACAATTCATTAGTTAAAATATACAGTGTTTCCAGATCACTTCCTTGTTTTGATTAGTGTCATTATCTCAAAACTTTTTTTCCATTCTAATGTAATTAGAGGATTAAAAACGAGAAATGCACTGCAGAAGTTCTGATTTTCCCATCTTTACAACAGTATGAACAGAAACTGAAAGTGACTATTTTTGTTGCTGAACACTGGGTTTATGCAGATCTCATAGTTCAGTATCCATCAGAAATATAACATTTCTTTGTTCTTTCATTTCAGCTGAAGGAATATGAGGCCCAGCACAGGCAGTCGGGCATCATAGACTCTACAGATTGGCCTGACGGCTCGTACCCAACATTTGACGGGTCTTCCAATTGTAATGTGAGTACCTGTCTCTATTATATCACTACCCTAACGCTACAAAACCTTTTATTGATATCCAAAAATAGCCCAACTCACCAGAATGATTTATTCAACATCGTCTTTTTGTGTCATGGGATACAATGCTTCTGTCATCTCACCATCAGGAGGTCTTCAGTATTGATTGAAAATCCTCAATGCCCAAAGTCTTAAGCAAGGATTGAAAATAACTCTCTAAATATCTTCTTTTTTTTGCATCCAGCTCTTCATCACTTACCATTCAAAACAAACAGTACATAGGCAAAATACCCACCTGCTATAGAGAAAAATTGTTTAGAACCTTCTTAGGCAATAGGACCTCTTTATCAAACAAAGTCAACCTCCTCAACTGATGTGAATCAGTCTAGTTCCATAGACTTCCATAGAGCTCGCTGATTTACACTAGCTGAGGATCTGGCTATGACCTGAGTCCCCACTGTTTTCCATTCAAACAGCTCCAACCATCCATTTGCTAACTTCCAGCCCAGAATGTTTGCAATTTATGCCAGACCCATAAACACTAAAAGAGTTTTCCTGTCCTTTTTTTTTTTTTTTTTTACATCGGAGTTATGTAGATAATGACTTTCCTTGTTTGTATGGACATCAGATAGTCTGTGTCACACAATATTGAGTAAATTAATATTTGGAAGGAAGAAATCATCATTTTTGTAGAGTTGTCTACTCCCATCTGTTTATCTAATTGAAAGTTCATAGATAAATCGTATGCCCAAACACATTTGGCAGTCCTATTCAAACTCTTTGTATCCCACATAATTAAATCATAGACCCTTGAGACTTTTTTCAAACCATGAATGGAATCTTTTAGTAAACACAGTGGGAGGTTGGCTTCTCATTGTTAGTTGCTCAGAGAAATGCTGTGTCTTCTTATTTGGAGATTTAAAAAAGGGGAACACAAAAATGGGGAAGCTAGTTAAACAGAAATTAAAAGATATAGTCCAAAAGTGAAATGCCTGTAAGTAGCATGGAAACTGTTTAAAAACACTGTAACACAGGTTAAAATGAAATGTATACCCCAAATAAAAAAAATAGTAAGAGGGCCAAAAAAATGCCATCATGGCTGAAAAACAAAGTAAAAGGAGTGGTTAGAGGCAAAAAAGCATCCTTTAAACATTGGAAGTTAAATCCTACTGATAAAAATAGAAAGGAGCGTAAACTCTGGCAAGTAGAGTGCAAAAGTATAATTAGGCTGGTGAAAAAGAATTTGAAGAGCAACTAGCCAAAGACTCAAAAACAAACATCAAGAAGTAGGAAGCCTGCTAAACAATCAGTGAGGCCATTGGACAATTGAGATGTTAAAGGAGCACTCAAGGAAGACAAGGCCATTGCAGGCAAACTAAATGAATTCTTTGCTTGTCTTCACTGAAAAGAATGTGAGGGAGATTCCCACACCTGAGCCATTCTTTTTAGGTGATCACCCCGCTACACACCCTCCCTCTTTAAGAAAGCTGACGGCGGGGGGGGTGGGGGGGGCTCCCTATTGCCCCAGCTTCCCTCGCAGCTGGGCTCACAGGGAATCCTGCTGCTGCCGCAGGCTCTCCACTGTCTGGAACAACCTGCTTCCCTCTTGAAGGGTTTGGGTGCACTGTAGCCTGCTCGGCTCCCATGTGGGTCTCCCTCCCTGTCTGGGTCTCCATCATGGCCTTCTCACCCTCGCGTAGATTCCCCTTCTGCTCTGGGGCCCGTCTGCCCCAGACCCTCTCCCTTCTGAGGCCTTGGTCTTCACCGCCCCCTCCCTCGGGGCAGTTGTGGACCCGGCCCGATCTTCCGGCCTCCCCCTCCTTCTCTGGGGTCCGGGCCGTTCTCCCTTGTAGCACAGGAAGCACATCCACTGCCTTCCTTTGACCACCTCAAGGCCAGCCTGGGCCCTGCGAGTCCCGTAGGGGCACTCCCTCTTCTTGTGCCCAGGCTCCTGACAGGCCCAAATTTGGAGGCCCCTTGTTGACTTCACAGGGGGCGCTCCCCCAGTTCCTCTTTTTCCGGGTGGGGCCTCTGTGCTCCATTCCGGTAGGGACACTCCCATTTATAGTGTCCCAGTCGCCCACAGGCGAAACAGTTTTTAGGCCCCGGCACCGGCCTCCAGCCCCAGGTGGCTGGCCCCCGATGAGGTCCATGTGCCCTCCCCTGCAGCAGCTAAAGCAGTCCCACTTGGTGCTCGGCGAGCCGTGCCACACAGGCCCTCCAGTAATAGTCCATCTTTGGTCTCCACCTTCCGTTCCTCACCATTCGTCCTTGCCCTGCCCCTTGTATCGGGTGGATCGCCTATGCCTGCATTCTCCACCACTTGTGCTGGGGCGACGACTTACTGGCATGGCGCCTCTTGCTGGTCTTCCAGCCCGGAGTGCCTTCTGCAGGCCAGTGTCTCACCTGCCACTGGCCCCCGTGTCCCTCCCGGACCCCAGTGCCCCTCTATGTCAGGGTCCTGCTCCCTAGCAGTAACCCACAAGCTGGGATTCCCCATCCAGGGGAACTCCCAACCCTCTATCCCCACCCTGCCTCAGTGGCTACTGCCAGTCACTATCTAGCCCCCGCTCACTGGGTCAGACTGCAATCTGTAAACCACTCATCCGCAAGGGGGGTTGGACCTGCTGCCTTTGATTATCCCTGGGCTGCCCCTCTGCAGCCCAAGTACCCTTTCGTAGACCTCTAACTAGGCCTGCAGCCTGGGGTTTTGCTAGACTGGAGCTCCCCAGCTCCCTCTGCCCTTCCCCAGCACTGCTCCACCCTTGGTACCCTTCTCAGCTCCGAGGCAGCCAGGCCCTTCTCTCTCAGAAAGCTAGAGAGAGAATGCTTTCCAATCTCTGGCCCTCAGCCCTCTTATAGGGCCAGCTGTGGCCTGACTGGGGCGAGGCCCTACCTGTGGCTGCTTCCCCCAATCAGCCTTTCTTTTCCCAGCTGTAGCCCTCTCCAGGGCTGTTTTAAGCCCTTCAGGGCATGATCGGGGTGATCACCCCGCTACAGGGTGTCAACATATTTGTGGACAAGGATGTTTTGGTGGATACAGTGTACTTTGTCAAAGGCTTTCTGAAAGTCTAGGTCCCTCACAAAAGGCTCTTAAGCAAAGTAAGCAGCCATGGGATAACAAGGAATGTCCTTTCATGGATCAATAACTGGTTAAAAGACAAATCAAAGGTAGGAATAAATGGTCAGTTTTCAGAATGGAGAGAAGAAAATAGTGGTGTCCGACAGGAGTCTGTGGAATCAGTGCCGTTCAACATATTCATAAATGATCTGGGAAAAGGGGTAAACCCTTTGCAGATGATACAAAATTACTCAAGATAGTTAAGTCTAAAGCAGACTGTGAAGAGTTCAAACTGATCTCACTAAACTGGGTGACTGGGTAACAAAATGGCAGATGAGATTCAATGTTGATAAATGCAAAGTAATGCACATTGGAAAACATAATTCCAAGTATCCAAACAAAATGATGGGGTCTAAATTAGCTGTTACCACTCAAGAAAAAGATCTTGGAGTCATTGTGAATAGTTTTGAACTATTGTGTAGCAACAGTCAAAAAAGCTAACAGAATATTAGGAACCATTAGGAAAGGGAAAGATAAGAAGACATAAAATATCATAATGCCTTTGTATAAATCAATGGTATGCCCACACCTTGAATACTGTGTACAGTTCTGGTCACCTCATCTCAAAAAAGATACGTTAGAATTGGAAAAGGTAGAGAGAAAGGCAACAAAAAGGATTAGTGGTATGGAACAGCTTCTATATTAAAAGAGATAAAGAAGGACCTGCAGAAAAGGTCCTAGGGGTTACAGTGGATGAGAAACTGGATATGAGACAACAATGTGCCCTTGTTGCCAAGAAGACTAATGGCATTTTGGGCTGTGTAAGTAGGAGCATTGCCAGCAGATGGAGGGACATGATCATTCCCCTCTATTCGGCATTGGTGAGGCCTCATCTGGAGTAGTGTGTCCAGTTTTGGGCCCCACACTACAAGAAGGATGTAGAAAAATTGGAAAGAGTCCAGCGGATGGCAACAAAAATGATTCCGGGGCTGGAGCACATGACTTATGCTGAGGGAACTGGGATTATTTAGTCTGCAGAAGAGAAGAATGAGGGGGGATTTGATAGCTGCTTTCAACTACCCAAAAGGGGGTTCCAAAGAGGATGGATCTAGACTGTTCTCAGTGGTAGCAGATGACAGAACAAGGAGTAATGGTCTTAAGTTGCAGTGGGGGAGGTTTAGGTTGGATATTAGGAAGAACTTTTTCACTACGAGGGTGGTGAAGCACTGGAATGGGTTACCTAGGGAAGTGGTGGAATCTCCTTTCTTAGAGGTTTTTAAGGTTAGGCTTGACAAAGCCCTGGCTGGGATGATTTAGTTGGGGATTGGTCCTGCTTTGAGCAGGGGGTTGGACTAGATGACCTCCTGAGGTCCCTTCCAACCCTGATATTCTATGATTCTAAGACTGGGACTTTTCATTTTGGAAAAGAGATGACCAGAAGAGAATATGATAGAGGTTTATAAAAATCTTAACTGGTGTGGAGAAAGTGAAGAATAAGGAAGCGTTGTTTATTCCTTCACATAACACAAGAACCAGGGGTGACGCAATTAAATTAATAGGCAGCAGGTTTAAAACAAACAAAAGGAAGTACTCCTTCACAGAATGCACAGTCAACCTGTGAAACTTGTTGCCAAAACTATAACAAGGTTCGAAAAAGAACTAGGCAAATTCATGGAGGATTAGCCAAGATGGTCACTAGCCTCTGTTTGCCAGGCCCTCGGAGTGGATGAATAGCTTGATTGCCTGTTCTGTTCGTTCCCTCTGAAGCATCTGGCATTAGTCACTGTCACAAGACAGGATCTTTGGCTAGATGGACCATGGGTCTGACCCAATATGGCCATGATGTTCTTATGTAAAAATATTTTTACTAGAGCAATATTTGCTTTTAAGTATTCTAAAAACTGAAAGATTCTTCAACTAGATGGGATCAGGGGAATGATAA